GGAGGGACAGGCCGGGAGACCTCCAGGCCCCACCCCCGCCAGGGCCCCTGTTGTCTCAACTTACTGTAGATACATGGTTGTGTATGTTAAAGTCACTGAGGTCAACTGGCATTTTGAATTAACTTCAAGAGGCCAGGATGTCACCCTAAGTTTTTATAAAATCACACCCAGGTAATTTCTTTCAGGTTCATTCTCATATGAAAATGAGTTAATGAATCTCCAGTGCTGCTACGTACACCTCTCACAAGAAAAGTCTTTAATTTCTGTGGTTTTTCCTTCAGCTTTCTAGTATTGAATAAATTAGAAACTCTCACAGAAAATAAATGTTTCTTGAGAAATGTAGTTTCAAAGAAGAATCCAGCCTGATGCGCCTCCTGTATTCTGAGGCAGCCATATTTGGTCATCTTTTTATTATGCAGCATTCATCAGCACGATAATATTGTCATGAGAAAAGGGACCACTACGGTATGTTTGTTATTTTATCAGTGTTTCTTCAGGTCATGCCCAATTTGAGGTTGACTTTCTGTACCAAAAGAGTTAGTTTTTTAGATTTTTCTTGGGGCATGCCAGATAGATGATTGTGACTTGCATGCAGAATTTTGAGTTGTTTCGTAGCGACCTTGTGTGCATCTGAGGTGCAACAATAAAAATGTAATGCTTAGTTCTCTGAAAACCAAAATGAGCTGAGGAGCTTCATCTAAATGCTCTGCATCATACTACATTTTTGGAAAATGTTATGATTTCCGGAAGTGGAGCAAACTGTGCAACTTACTCAAAAAGATGTGTTCTTCTAGATAGGCAGGGTTGCTTTCATTTTTTCTGTGATATATTACTTTTACAATATCTGATGTAATTGTTATTTTTATTATTAATTCATTATTTAATCCTATAACTCTCTCTCAAGCAAAGTTTTCAGGCAGTGAAATTTTTTTTCTGAGTAGGATTTCATCTTAGCTAACAAGCAGTATATTCTATTATTAAAAAAGAGAGGATCTAAAAATAAGATGCAATTGCTGGGGAAAACACCATGTTTCTGAATCATACTGTTTCAGGAAGAAAGATGAGTGTGTTGATATATGTGGTCTGAAAACTATTTAATTTCCTTACAGCATTTAGCAGTGACTAGATTTTGTATTACACCATTTTAAAAGAAGAATTTAAGGTTGTGGTTCATAGTTTAGCTCATTTATCTTATTTTAAAGAGGGTCTTTAATTTGTTAGCATTTCAGAAAAGCAAGGAGTTTTAGCCTAATGATGTGAAGTTCATAGAGGGGTCAGATAATAAGACTTAAATCCACAGGGGCAACATAACCTATATTTACATACAGGAGAAAATCTAGTCAAGCATAACTTAGACCTTTTCTCCAAGTGATTTTGCTGCTGCTTGCCCTTTACTTCAATTTCAAACTGATTGCTCTTTCAGGATCTCAACCTCCATTTCTGTCGCTGTCTCCATTGCATGTCTAGTAGAAGTAGAGCTTATATTGCAGCTCTTTGCAGCCCTTTTATTCAGTGGTTTTGAATTAGGAGTTACATATTTATCTGTAAACCACAATAACCCTATTCACACATGGATTTGTATTATTCCATAGCTTTTCATAATTTAGTGATAAAGGCATGTATTGTTTCTGCTATTGTGTTGAAAGAGTATAAAGTTTAGAAAACGTTCAGATTTGTAATGAACGTCCTACCTTCTAATAAAGGAGGATAAATGAAGTAGGATTTTCAAAAGAACTCAGTGCTGCTCTAGGATTGTTCCCTCTGGGTGCTTCTGTATGTGCTATTAAAGCAGTGCGATAAACTCCAGTACGGTTTGTGCCAGAGTCAACTGCTCCCAGATACAGCATCTGCACACGTGCCTGGAATCACAGCAGTTTGAACCAGGGTGGAGCCCACACTTCAGCACCCTCGTGCCCCAGCCATCCCCTGTCACTGTCTACATGTGCATTTCAGTGCACATAAACTACTCCACCATAGGATAGTACTGTCCAACAGTACTATTTTACACTGGAGTTTATTTACTATGCCCTTATACCTGCACACATGTAGACAGTGATGCTTTACTATGGAGATAATTAGTCAATTCTGCAATAAAGCTCACATGTAGATGCAACCCAGAAGGTCAAAAAGAATTACTCTCAACTTCAAGAAAAAACAGAGCTCTTTTGGAAAATCTCTGCTATGGGTGAAAGAATTTATTGTTAGATACTACAAGTTATTGCCTTAACTAAGTCAGTCCCTTACTGTATTAGGTATGAGACAAATAGATAATAAGCACTTGCCCTAAAGAGAGAGTACAGTCTGAGAGAGAGAAAACTTATGTTGTTTGTTGACAGAAGATACAGCCTACTCAAGGTCAAAAGTGTCCAATCACCAAGTAGAATGGGTCATGATGTAGCTTTGGTTTAGCTGTTCCAATTAGAAGACTGGGTTGGGAGAGAGGGTTGCAAATTATCTTCTTATAATAGAAAAGTTTAATCTGTTATGGGAATCAGTGCATCTCCTGAGCTGCTCCTTGATTTTTGGGACTTTACTCACCAAAGATACCCCAGACAGCAAAAATGGGGTTCTTCAGTCTCTACAATTTATTGCCAGGGAGACTGGCTCTTCTTGTGGGTCCCTTGATATACCTGTGATGACAATTTCTTCCCTCAAGTTGTCATGTCCAAGAACTGAAAAATTCAAGATCCATGTTTTTGGATTGCATTACACAGAATTTTTTATGAATTTTTGAACATTGAACTAGCACAGTATGTTGATTAGACATTACATTTTATTTGCTACACTTTGCCTGAAAATTTACTCCCCTCGCCCAGAAATAATTATTTACATCTTTGGAGACCAGGTACAAATCACTACAAACTCAGAGTTTTTTAGTAGAATTTTATATCCACTATGAAGAGTTTTAAACAAGGTGCAAAGCAGTGGAGAATCAGTTCCCTAATGCATAAAATGATAGGGATAGACTGACTCCAGCTCTGTTTACAGATGCTTCTCCAATGGTATAGAGGACCCAGGTCTGTGCTACAACTTCCCCCTGTGCAGAGAAAACATAGTCACATCACAGGCAGCAGTGGTAGGTGAGGAGGAAGTCAATGGGGAGAGAACTTTTTGGAGGGCTTGCCTTATTTGGATTCTTCCATGAGGACCTCTCTGAGCTTGGTTATTCATTAGAGTAGCCATTGAAACTCTTTTCATTTAGACTGGGGTTCATTTCAACGTGGAAGACCCCAGGATTCCAAAGGTATCTTTCCTATCTGCACAGTGCCTGCTGGTGACAGACAACAATAGTTTTCTTTAATATTGTACATATTGTGGACAGTTCACTAAAAAACATCAGCTCTGTGCTCAGCAGCTATCAGAAAAGCAAACAAAATGTTAGTAGGGAAGGGAATTTTTCAAAACACATACACAAACAACCAGAAAGTATCATTATGCCCCTTTATAAATTCATGGTACATCCATACCTTCAATACTGTGCCCAGTTTTGGTCCTCACACCTCAGAAAGGTGATAGAAGAATTAAAGAAGGTACAGAGAATGGCAACAAGGATAATTAGAGGTATGGAGGGGTTTCTATATGAGGTGAGACTAAAGAGGCTAGGTCTATTCAGTAGAAAGAGACCCTTGAAGGGCGGCACAATAAAGGTTGACAAAATACTAAATTGTGAGGAGAAAGTAAATTGGGATTTATCATTTACTATCTGGCCCCTGGCCTTGACTCCCCCCCCCCCCCCCC